TACTTGATTATGTTTGCAGGTGTGGAAATGCAATTGTTGGCTGGGAAGGCAATTTTTTTTGTCAATGCTACAGGTTTCCAGCGGATTTTGCGTCGGAAATACGACATAAACGACGATACAACGAATCGGTGAATTCATGCCGAGGTTTTTTTGGACGACGGAAATTTCCGGCGCAGCTTACGGCGACGTATCCGCCGGCGTTTTCCGACGCTAATTATTCGCCAGAAACAAGCTGTATCTTATTTACGGTGAACCTACGGCGTTTTATCTACCGGTAATTTTCGTCGGATAGATACGTCGTAAACTTTCGGCGCACATATCACCAGAATAAACATTTAAAAAACGCCGGCTTGGCTAGAATTGTTTTTCGCCAGTAATGCGCCGGAGATGGCGCTGGAAAGTTTTCCAGCGTCTTATAAACGTTAAAAGTTATTTTTTGATGTGAACCAAACCGGTGCACAAAAGTCCACCGTAAATGCGTTGGAAACCTAAGACTTCCGTCAGATTTTACATGTTACCGACGGATTATATCCACCGGTAATAGCGGGTTTTCCTATAGTGCTTCCTTAGATGTTGCCCGTTAATTTATTTAGTTTAGGGCTTACGGCTCCAGTTAGGAGTTGCCTGTGTGATTAGATTTGGAAAGGGGCTAATGGCTTTTTTAGAAGTTACCCGTTGATTTTGTTTAGTTTGGGGTTTACAGCTCAAATTAGGAGTTTCCCTGATAGTGGGACTTATGGCTTCTTTTAGAGATAGCTCGAAGAATTTTGGTTGGATAGGTCTTATGGCTTCCTTTGAAGTTGTCTAATGGTGGGTCTTACGACCTAACCCTGTAAGCTAAGCGACCCATATGGTGCGTCTTACAACCTAGCCCTTATAGACTAGGATGCCCGAAAGCTTAGATTTTGTCTGAATTTGATAACAATCATGTCTTGCTATAGTTGCTCTTTTCATGTTTTAGTAGTTCATCATTTTAGTCTGCTCTTTTTTCTTTCAACGTTACTTTACTTTTTTTTATTAGCTTAGTATAGCATTTGTTCTTTTTTTTATAATAGCATTTAAATATTTAATTGATTTCATTCATTTGTTTTGTCAGGAGCTCGCACTACTTTGGAGCTTTGTTCAAAGGAACTAGAGAGTTTGTGTATGTTGAGATTGAGTGTTGATTGTACAGGGTTGAAAGTTGTCTGTACATGAGTTTATAGAGTTTTGTTGAGTTGCTATTGAGATTTGAGTTAAGTTGTTTTCTTAGTTGAATTGTTTTGTTTGAAGAGTTGTTTAGGTTGTTGAATTATTGTGTGTTGATTAGTTTGAACATATGTTAAATGGTGGAAACACTAATTTCTTATAACATGTATGTAATATCATAGATTGATTGTATTCCAAGTGGAGACACCTTTTTTTATTAAAAATATTGAGTTGATTTAATCACTATTGCGTGCGCAAATAAGTTAACTCCATGTACAAGAGTATTTGTGGTGCAAAAAAACGACATCAATTTCTTCAAGAATACAAAGCCATTATGTTTTATCTCATTCTATATTCTCATTGATTCATTGTTTTCTATTGGACCAGTGAAGCAACTACATTCTGAAGTATTTGTAGCTCTCATATGCTCAAGCTTCTTGTACGAATAAAAGAGAGTATTAACATCTTTTAGCACATATTAAAAATGAAAGTTCTCTTATATAAGCAAGCCGGCTTATCAACCAACTGCTCCACCTTTCGTGCTCAGGCGATTATCACTGTTAGTGGTGATACAGGAAAAGCTGCTATCTCAGCCTGCAACCTCTGATTTTCCTAACTAACCTTGATGCTCCTTCTTCACAGCATATATACGATTGTATTGAGCTCTTGGATGTTATGGAATAGAAAACATAATTTCTCTCTTACCTTCTTCACATTTTCTCTGTTCATAATTTTCATTTTGCAGGTTATTTCATGGTATCAGAGCAAACCAGGCACTGATAACCTCACAGCATGGCTGAGAGTCAAATTTTGACCTCTGCGCCCTCCTCCGCTCAAGCAGTTCCAGAAACTGCACGTGCAACAGTCGCAGTGGATTTCATATTTCCAGCTCCCTTGAAGTTCATCATCTCTAACATAAAGCATATAGTCAATATTCAGCTCAGCAACGATAATCACGCAATCTGAAGACTTCAGGTTCTGAAAAATTTTTCGGTAAACGGCTTAAGGGGTTTCTCACTGGCTCCAATATATGTCCCCCGAAACACATTTCCAACTCCACTGGAGGTATTATTCTCAACCCCAGCTATCAACTATGGCAACTGACCGATCAAAACCTTAACGCGGCATTGTTCTCTACTATTTCTCCGAGCATCCTACCATATGTTCTGACCCTTCAAACATCTCACGAAATCTGGGACACACTGGACAAGCGTCTTCAGCCAACCAATCGATCACGAGTTATACAACTCAAAAACGAGTTGTACATAATCGATATGAAGGATCTCACCATTAATCAGTACCTGGCTAATGTGAAAACACTTGTAGATAATATCTCTTCAGCCGGGTCCTCTGTGGATCCTGAAGACATTATTTTACACATTCTAAATGGCTTGGCATCCTCGTATAATGGATTTAAGACTGCGATTTGCACCAGGCCTTCAGCCATTCCATTAGACGAGCTGTATTCTTTGCTCATAAGCGAAGAAATCAACCTGATGAATGATCGTTCTAAAGATGCCAGTCTTCCATCTGATTCCACAGCTCTCACTGCCTTTAAAGGAAACACTAACAAATATTCTCAACAGGACACAGTTAAATCACCTCGTGGTCGCTTCTCCACGAATAGAGCTTCAGCACCTAGATTCTACAACTCTGCTCGTCCGCCGACAAATCCAACTGCTCCACGCTTGATCTGTCAAATATGCAATAAACCTGGTCACTCTGTAGTGAGCTGCTGGCATCGAACGAATCTGCAATACTCCGCTCCAACACCTGCAGCACCACAGAGCTATTTCTCATAGCAACAGAACAATCCTACTACTAAATGGTATCTAGACTCCGGAGCCTCGTCGCATCTCACCTCCGATCCTCTCCAGCTACAAAACTCCCAACCTTATACCGCCAGTGACAGCATTTTGATCTCCAACGGTTCTTCTCTTCCCATACAGTCCACCGGGCAAGGTCTTCTTCCGATGCCAAATTCTCCACGTAAGCTCTTGTTACATAATCTCTTACATGTTCCCTCTCTAACTCACAATCTACTCTCCATTCATAAGCTTACCACCGACAATGACTGTTCCATTTGCTTTGATTCTCTTGGATTCACTATAAAGGACAATCGGACTACTCAACCAATCTTTAGAGGCCGGAGCAGAGATGGTCTCTACGTTCTCCCCTCCTCCTCCCAAATTGCTCTACACGCTTCGCAACAAACCACATCCATCTGGCACTCTCGGCTGGGACATCCACATCTTCAACTTCTTCAACAACTAGCTAGACAAAACAACACTATCTGTATCTCAAGCTCTTCTACTTTTATGTGTCAATCATGTAACGTGGCCAAAAGCCACAAATTATCCTTCAATTTTAATGAAAAGAAATCTACCTCTTTATTTACTCTTGTACACTCCGATGTATGGGGTCCTGCACCCACTTCTTCTTTAAGTGGCTTTAATTACTATGTTCTATTCATTGATGATCATTCCAGATTCACGTGGCTATATCCTATGCATAATAAAGCTGAAGTGTTCAGCAAATTTCAACACTTCATACAACTCATTAAAAACCAATTCAATGCAACAGTAAAAATCCTTCGATTTGATGGTGGTGGCGAATACCAATCCTCTAATTTTAAAACATTTCTAGCTCAACATGGCATTCAACACCAAATGAGTTGTCCTTACACTCCCGAATAAAATGGACTAGCCGAGAGAAAACATCGTCATCTCATTGAAACCACACGTACACTTCTTCATGCTGCTCATCTCCCATTAAAATTCTGGATGGAAGCCCTTCTAACCGCAAACTATCTTATAAATCGACTTCCATCTAAAGCTCTCCAATTCAAGAATCCTTATTACCTACTTCATCAACATCAACCCTCCTATACTCACCTCAAAATTTTTGGTTGTCTCTGCTATCCATGGCTTAGACCCCTCTCTCATAACAAGCTTCAACCGAGATCATCCCCTTGTCTCTTCCTTGGCTACTCCTCCTCTCATAAGGGATACAGGTGTTTAGATCTTCAAACCAACAAAATACACATCTCTAGACACGTTGTTTTCTACGAGGATACCTTTCCATACAACAATCCTCCATCCTTATCTTCTTCCATTCCAAACCATTCTAATACTTCACCACTCACTCTAATTCCCGTTTCCACCATTTCTGCACCTATCAAGTCAACACTACCTCAATCAAATACCCCACCTTACATCTCAATTTCCAGCCAACACAATAATACTTCTCCACCGTTAATTTCTACATCCAGTAATCCGTCTCTTTCCACCTCATCATCTCCTTCCAACTCCTCAGCTACCTCAAATCATCCAACTGTTGTTCAACCACCCTGTCATCCAATGCTTACCCGATCTAAAACTGGTAACCTCAAGCCAAAACAACAATTTGATCTACTTGCTATTCACCCGATCTCCTCTACTCCAACCTGTTTCACCCAAGCAATCAAATCCAACTCACGGAGAAAGGCTATGTCAGAAGAATTCACTGCTCTTCAAAAACAGGGTACTTGGTCCCTTGTCTTACCACCTCCTAACAGAACTGTGCTTGGCTGTCGTTGGACGTTTCGAACCAAACTCAAATCAGATGGTACAATAGATAGATACAAAGCTAGGCTTGTTGCTCAAGGCTTCAATCAAGAGTTTGGCGTAGACTATACTGAGACCTTTAGTCCAGTTGCCAAAATGCCCACCATCAGAATCATGCTTACTATAGCTCTACATCGACATTGGATAGTTTTCCAACTTGATGTATCCAATGCATTCTTACATTGATCATTACAAGAAGAGGTGTATATGAAACAACCACAAGGTTTCATCCATCCCAATCATCTGTCCCATGTATGTAAACTTCACAAGACTATTTACGGGCTTAAACAAGCACCGAGGCAGTGGTTTCACACGTTCACAGCTTTCCTCCAAAGCATCGGCTTCACCTTCAGCAAATCTAATCCCTCTCTATTATTCTACAAGAAAGAGGACACCAAAATCTACATTCTTCTATATGTAGATGATATTCTTATATCGGGCAATAAGCACAGCAAAATTATTGCCTTTATCAAGGAATTACAAGACCGTTTTCAGCTGAGAGAACTTGGTCCCGTTTCCTTTTTTCTGGGGATCCAGGTATCACGCACAGCCGCTGGCTATTTCCTCAGCCAATCTCAATATGCTCTAGACATTCTTCAGTCTGCAGGTTTAGCCGATTGTAAACCATCTCAGACTCCCATTGCTGTCAAAACCGTTGCCGATGCCAAGCAGTTTCTCGGATCAGATCCACGCTCTACAGGAAAATTGCTGGCTCATTGCAATATCTCACAATCACTAGACCAGACATTGCATATGCTACTAACATTGTTTGCCAGCATATGCATCAACCGTCCGAACTGCATTTCACCATTCTCAAACGACTGTTGCGCTATATTTAGGGGACTAGTCAGTTTGGTCTTCCCATAACTCCTGGTCACCTTCGGCTTACATCATTTTCTGATTCAGATTGGGCAGCTGATCACAACGACAGGAAATCCATTTTTGGATTTTGTACATTCCTCGGCAATTCGTTAGTTTCTTGGTGTGTAAAGAAGCAAGCCACTGTCGCTAAATCTTCCACCGAGGTAGAGTATTGGGCTCTAGCATCTGCCACATCCGATATAATATGGCTAAGGAGGTTACTCTCTGATTTTGATGTGGAGCCTCTACTACCCACCATTCTCTCATGTGACAACACTTCTGCGCTTGCTCTTGCCAACAATCCAGTATTTCATGCTCGGACAAAACACATCGAGATCGTCTACCATTTTATTAGAGAACGCATCCTCTCCAAAGAAATTGAAGTTCAGCACATCAACTCCTTAGATCAGTCGGCCGATATTCTTACCAAACCACTGTCTCTAACTCGTTTCAAAGCACTTAGAGACAAACTTACAATTCAACCACTTGAATCATAAGTTTGAGGGGGCCTGTTAGCACATATTAAAAATGAAAGTTCTCTTATATAAGCAAGCCGGCTTATCAACCAACTGCTCCACCTCTCGTGCTCAGGCGATCATCACTGTTAGTGGTGATACAGGAAAAGCTGCTATCTCAGCCTGCAACCTCTGATTTTCTTAACTAACCTTGATGCTCCTTCTTCACAGCATATATACGACTGTATTGAGCTTTTGGATGTTATGGAATAGAAAACAAAATTTCTCTCTTACCTTCTTCACATTTTCTCTGTTCCTAATTTTCATTTTGCAGGTTATTTCAACATCTAACCCAAGTTTTGGCTTATTAATTATTTGAAAAACATTCTTTATTTCACTTTTTGTTGGCATGGAAACTTTACATATATCTTTCATGTTTTCAGCTTAATGCTCACCGGCCAATAGTAATCATGGATAATTGCAAATTGATGGCATAACCCAAACTGAGAACAGCAGCATCAGTTTCAAGAAAACTATTATTCATTGGTATGTTTAATGGATGGTTAGAAAACTTCAAATCAATTGCCTTAGGCTTCGTTTGAGACGGCTTTTTTATTATTTTTTTAGTAAAAAATAAAAAACTTTGTACTAAAACTCTGTTTTAGAAAGCAGCAAAAAAATCGTCCCAAACGAAACCTTAGTGATTTAGGAACCGTCCCCTTCCTCATTAAAATTTTTATGTTTTTTTACGGTTCTCTTTTCTATTGGGTTAGACCATGATGATTTGATTCCTTCCTACGATCACATCACCATCTTCAAATTGAGCTAATCAATTGATTTGCATTTATTTCAAATGGTTATTTAATTAATTATCAAGTCAATTAATTAACTACTCAATATTATAATTCATCAATTAATTCAACCAAATAATTAAATGCTCTCTAATTTCAATTTTTTATTTCTTAAAGATCATTGTTTGTTTGTTTTTTTTTCTTTTTATTCACTTAAATCCAAAATTTTCGATGAAATTTTGGTAGCCTCCCAGCGTCCCCTCCCCACCGAGGGAGAAATCGGGATGGCACTTGCTGATATTTTCTTCCCGGTCGGACCTAAGGTCGACGGTTCTAGGCCTTGAATTTGAAACCATCCCGACCGGATTTAAATTCGACGGTGCGAGGTCTTGAAGGCGAAACCATCTCGACCGGACTTAAAGTCGACGGTGCAAGATCTTGAATTTGAAATCATCTCGACTGGACTTAAAGTCGATAGTGCGAGATCTTGATTTTAATTCTTGTTTGTTTAATTATCAAAATAGTAGGTAATTATTTCATGTCAATTGGGGCAAGACAAGCAATTGCAGGCAATGAGGATACATATCTCCACTCCAAGCCTGTTTGAACACAAAAATTCCTGTTATTATTGAATCCAAACATTCTTCTGGTATGTTGTAGTTGTAGGTAGTAGCAAATTCATGGACATGTAGACCCAGCCAATGATAAAAAATAAATCTAGTCGAAGTGAAATTAATTAATTTGTGGATGCAACAATGCAATGCACATATTTTCCATTTTTATTCTCATTATTTTGTTCGTTATTTTTATTAGTCAACACCTACCGCCTGCCCCTGCATGCCCTGCCCGGCTTGCCCGCTTGCCGCTGCCTGCCCTGCCTGCTACGGTCTGCCCACCTACCCGCATAGCTTGCCCGCGTGCATCGTGCCGGTCGCACCAACGCATTTGTGTCGCATAGCATCGCGTTCGCTGTTGAACGCCATTGCTCGCTGGCGGCTACCGAACGTTGTTGCCCGATGGCAGTTGCCAAACCTCGCTGCCTAGCGCCTGCTGTCGCTATCGAACGTCGTCTGACGTTGCCGAAGCGGGTTGGGTCGGGTTGACCCCATCCCGTAGTGGGTTGGGTTCGGGTCCGAAACGGGACGAGTTAGGGTTGACCCAAATAGTGTTGGGTCAATTCCGGGTTTGACCCGAACCCAACCCGTAACTCGAAATTAACACCCCTAGTTGGAAGGGCTTTGTAGTTGTATTTTATAAATATATAGCTCTAAGATGATATTTATAAAATAATATTTTCTATTATAAATTTTTTATAATTATGCATGTAAATATATAAAATTTAAATTATATATGTGTGTTTCATGCTTTTGATGTTTTTTTTCAAGTTACAAATGCATGAAGATATTTTTTTACTTCATAAGTCATATGATTAATCTAATTTTATTATGACTTGCATGTTATTTTGTGAAAATTTTTAAAATCAAGTTATAATCTTATATATAGTAATATGTTATGATTTCTATCCCTTAACAAATATTATTCATTCAATGAATAATAAGTGTAGTATATTTGCATTTCAAATATTTTTCAACTTCTCTTTGAGATATTGGAGTTAACTAAAAATTGTAAGGTATTTTATCATTTTTGTTTTAAATTATTTAATTTTGATGGTAATTTATTATATGATGATATTTTTTAAATGCTACATTTAATTTTTTTTTCTTATTGAGAAGATTTGTGTATTTTTGACTTGAAAGTAACTTTTGTTTAAAAATTCATGTTATTAACTTATTAGCAAAAAAGTAACTCAATTTTGTCAATAATACAACCATTAATTAAAAACTAATGTATTACTTATTATATTCATGTTTAATTTACATAATTAATGCTTGATTATTTCTCCTAATTATAATTTATTATCATTATCAAATAAAATAATTTATGATACAAAAAATCTTAATTAGAAGCAAAGAGTTATGGAATTATAAGTATTATTAGTGCATGGTTAATATCAATTTATTAATTTATGATGATGTAAATTTTTTTCATATATATGCACATAGGTTTAAAACTATTTTGGTGAGGAGGAGAAATAAATTAATATGATAATTTATGTAATTAATATACTAGCAATAATATTTAAATATCATGCTTCTCAACGCATTCCAAACTGATGAAAATCCTGTAGTTTAAAGTTCGTAGAGATGTTAATGTCATCAATGAAAGTTAACAAATATTTAAACCAGTTTTTTATTTTAAAAATCTAATACCTCAACTTTCCCAACCGAGTCATCGAAAGACCGCAGATTTTTGTGACCAAATCATCTAAGGCGGCTCTCTCTAATCTTATTCCATTGGAGTTACGTACTCCAACCTTTTCACGTATATGCTCATTTCGTATCATATCTCTAAGGGTAAAGCCACTCATCCACATGAGGATCTTCATCTCTGCAACACTTAACTTAATATCATGCTTCTCTTTTAATGGCCAACATTCAACAACATAAATCATTGTAGGTTTCACCACCATCTTATAGAATTTTTCCTTAAGTTTTAGGGGGAATTTTCTATCACACAAAAAGCCCGATACATTCATCCACTTCACCCATCCAACTTGAATTTTGTTGATGATAACCTCATCTATTTCACCATCACTCTGAACAATAGATCCAAGATATCTAAAATGAATATGACATCTAATTCTTAGTGGCTCGGCTCAAAGAGGTATTACCGTTAGAGGATTAGTCAATTTACAATAGTGTTGTGCTTGGCCATGTTTCCTACTTTCTCCATCTATTTGCTTATATATCTCTCCTACTACTTCACATCTCCAGTTAACAATAGAAACACATGGATCTGCATATTTTTGGCTTCAGATTTTATGCTTCATTCTTTTAATTATTCTTTTCCTCAACGAAATCTTGCAAGTATCATCACTTATAGTTCAAGAGGATTGCAGTTGCTCTCTTATCTTTTCAAATCTCACATCACATATGACCCAGTGGAGCACTATCCTCTTGGGAGAATAAACTCTCTTTCACTTCTGTCAATTGGCTAGGTGTGACTTGAGTAATCAAAGTGGTAATAACCCAGGGTCACAGCACTTAGAACTTCATTGGCATGATTTGCTGGCTCAATATCTCCCTCTTTGGGAAAACCTCTCCTTCCTCCAACAAGCTTCACATCTCCCAAAAACTCAAATCTCCGGATCCATTCCACATGAGCTTGGCTCTCTTTCCTTAATCTACGGTTTCTTTTCTAAAGCCACAATTCACTTGCAGGTGAGAATTCTCACTCTTTCCGATGCTCTCTTTTGGAATTTATTAGTTTAAAGTCCAATATGATGATGGTGAGATCCCCTCAAATCTTAGCCTCTGCACTTATGCTTAAAAGTCATTGATTTCAAATTCAAATAATCTTACTGGCATATACCTGCAAAGTTTGGAGCTTTAAAAGATTTAAGAAGTGGCTGATGCTTATAGCAACAAGTTGTAGCCATAGAGGAGGGAGATGGAATTTTCTCACTGCTTTGACAAACTGCTAGTAAAATATAGCAATTATCTTGGGCTGGGGAACGAATAGCTTGACAAGGCCTGCTACCTATCTCAGTTCACCAAATCTTTCAGTTGCAGCTTGCATATTTAGATATGTGGGAAAACCAAAATTTATGGAGGCAATTTCCTTTTGTGAAATTGAGAAGTTGGTCAATTTGCAAGTACTTTCCTATGGAATCAATCATTTCAGTAGTGTTATTCCTCCATTTCTATTGGAAACTTCTCAGGTTTAAAAATATATTGACTGTGAGAAATAATCAATTTTCTGGACCAATTCCACCTTCATTTTGCAACCTCACATCTCTTTTTGAGCTATATATAGGTACCAACAACCTTGAAGTGTGGTATTTTACATGCCTTGGCAACCTCACCTCTCTCACTGTATTAGATTTGAGTGTCAAAATTAATCTTACAGAGAAGATTCCCTCTTTCTTTAGGACATCTATTTGAGAACTTGAACTAATTTTCTCTCATATTTTAATAACTTGTATGGAAAACATACCACCATCTTTAGGAATTTACAATTCTTAGTTGTGCTAGAACTAGGGTATAATAAGCTTGCGTGGATTTATCCCAAATCTCTTTGGAACCCACCTCGTCCATAGACTTGGGCATAGAAAATATACCATTTTAATTGGTATTTTACCAATGAATAAAACTCTTTCCTTATCTAAAACATTCTTCGCCTTTCAGATAAAACCTTCATGGGCCCATTACAACCTTCTTGTTCAACTCTTTGGAAATAGATTACTTCAACTTTCTAGAAAATTTATTTGATTGGACCTCATACATACTAATATATGGATAATTTAAAAAAATCTTATCCCTTTGTATTATTCGCTTGGAAATTTCTTGCAAGCAAGAGACATCCAAAGAATGGTCCTTCATTACGGCATTGACCAATTGTACTAATTTGAAGAATACTAGAGCTATTTTCTAATGAATTAAGAAGGAATCTACCTCAATCAATAGTAAAATCTATCTACAACATTTTTCATCTTTTAGATTAAACAGGAACAAAAATATCTTGGAAACATACCTATAGAGATAGGAATCTCATTGGCCTTACATTGTTTAAACCTAAGGACAAAATAATCTCTCGGCACCATTCCTGATGGGATTTGAAAGTTAAACTCATTACAAGGATGTAGATTTACATGGTAATAGACTTTCAGGTGAAATTCTCAATACAACATTGGCAACATTTCAAATGTTAAATGATCTGTTTTTAGTCACATGATTTGAGTGTGGCATATTCCTTCTAATCTTGGAAGTTGTAAGCAACTAATGCAATGTATCCTTCAATACAATATAGTTTATGGCCCCATTACCAAAAGAACATCCTTAGCATCACTTCTCTATCCCTTGTGGTATATCTTGTCAAACAAACTTTGTTGGACTGGAATTGCTCTCTATCGGAGTTGGCCTCTTAGTTTAAATCTTGAATATCTTGCTTTGTCGCAGTAACAAATATCAGGCCAAATTCTGAGCAATCTTTGCTCAATGTGTGCAACGTCAAATACTTTAACATGGACAATAACTTGTTTCAATGGGAAACATTCCATCATCTGTTGAAGCATTAAAAAAGCCTCGAGTTATTTAATCTTTCACATAATCAATTTATCTGGAAAAATATACCCAAATTCTCTCGAATCCCTTCAAAATTTTAGACCTCTCTTACAATCAATCTTGAAGGAGAGTTCCAAAAAATGGCTGTTTTTTTGAATAGCAGTTTGCATTTTCAGTGGTATGAAATGACAAACTTTGTGGAGGTTATTGTTTGAATTAAAGCTACCACCATGCCTCGAGAATAAATCAAAGTCTTCGAGGAAGAATCACACTTATAACTATGCTAATAGCAGACGTCATACTAATAACTGGTGTATCTTCTATTATTTGTCCTTTCAATATGGAGGGAGGGAAAGTCAATAAAAGCTTCCTTCGATAGAGAGACTTGAGAAGAATGATCAGGAATTCATGTTACAAGTTTCTTTATGCTGAGGCTCGAAGAAGCGACTAATGGGATTCTCATCACTACAATTAATTGGAAGAGGAAAGTTTTGGTTTCTGTCTACATTTGGAAATTTGGAATCACAATTTGGCAAAAAGCATCGCCATTAAAGGTTCCTCAATCTCCAACAAAGAGGAGCCTCTAAAAGCTTTGTATTGGAATGCAAGGCATTGAGGAAATGTTCGACATTAGAAAAATCTTGTAAGGATATTAACTTCAATGCTCGAGTATTAACCATGAAGGCAATGATTATCAAAGCCTTGGGTTTTTGAGTAACATGTAAAAAAAAAAAAAAAAACAAAAAAACAATGGCAATTTGGATAAATGGGTTGCCATCAAACCATTCAATATTTGATAATGATAAGACCAAAAAAATTAAACCATAATCCAAAGAAATGAAATATATTATTGATTGTAGCTTCTGCTTGTAGACTATCTTCAGCAACTATGGACCTATACCAATCGTTCATTGTGATCTC